TTATCACCCCTTATCAAAGAGGGTGTTAACGAGTTCTTGATGGCGACCAATAAAAAAGAAACAAATTGCAATTCCATAAATTATTCGTAATAAACAAAAAGAAAATATGCATTGAAATATTCAGGCAGATACTTTTTCGCAGTCATATTGACTTGCAATAACGGGACAACTGATACCCAGCAGAAAAGTATCTGGCACGGGAAATCGAAAAAAAGCAAACAAAACAAAACAAAACACAGTAGCATTCTCTGGCTTGTAAGAAGAGTGAGCTACAGGCTGCTATCTTCAAAACAGGTGAAACACTGACAGAAAGAACAGTTTAAAGAAGACGAATGTCTGATGACATCATTGCATTTCAGTGGTCAAATAAGAAGCAATTGCTTGTCAAATTCTTGAAACAATTCACAAGCACGTAGCCATGCTCTTCGCACAACACTTCGAATGTGACTCTTTTTTCTCAGATATCACTTGTTTTTGCATCCTTCTGGGATTCATTCACCAAAATTGGGATACGTTAAATCAAGGCTTGCTGTAACGCAAGTCTTGCCGGCGCTATCTATATAAAAATAAATTTCTATGTACGATATATATTAAAGTTTAGGAAAATCATGGTTATTTGCACCACTTAGGTTGTTTTAAAGTTTGGTTGTAAGTCGTTGATCCAAAACAGTTTTGTCCAGTTTACTAACATTTTTTTTTCATAGTGTCTTACTCCAAACTTTACTGATCTTTCTTTAACCGACGCGAAAAAGTAGTTCCGACTCTCTCGCTGTATTGTATACAAGTTTAATTATTAAAGATTATCAGACATTAACTTTTCTTCCAAACAGTTTTTTTCTTACTATCTCGCTATCATTTAGAGATTGAAACATTGTTTTTTAGCTTTAAATCAATGCTTTAGCCATACAATGAGCAAACAATAATTTTTTTTTTTTTACAAAATTTGGTTTTTGAAGGCTAACAGTAACTGTGAATAAGGTGACTGTAAACTTTCACGGGTCGTATTCAGAAAATCCTTCGTACTCACGTCGCTTTTAACAAAACCACAGAAAGGTATAAAAAATGGTAAAGCGAATAAATTATAGAATCGGAGCAAATAATTATTTGAAGATTTCATCTACTTGTTAGCGCAAGCAACCCTTCAAACGTGAAACTGAAAATGCTCCCTCAACTTGATTACCTGCCTTCGCCTTCGCACGTTTGGCAAAACAAACTACACCATATCAATAAGCAAATGTCAGGCTACAAACAATTCACAGGAAAACCGAAAAGACGCAGGGCGCTTCGGTCAGTGTAAGAGGAGAAGTGAGGGAAACGGACGGCAAAACTAGCAAGTAAAGTCATCTACCAGCGACCCGAAACAATTGCAACAAGAACAAGAACAACAAAAAAATGTAAGTGCCACTGCTGAAGTCATATCATTTTTTTTTTTTTTTGGAGGCTGGTCTAACTATGAGCCTTTAATTTGTTGTTATAGCAGTGACTTCCCCCTTTTTTTCTTTTATGGAAGGATTCTTCGTCTTTCGTCCTTTTCATCGGCCAAAGTTTTTAACAATATTTGCAGTTCATATGAATTGTTCAGACCTTCCCTAAAGTGCACTGATCTTTCTTTGATAACCGACGCGCAAAAGCAGTTCTAATTCTTTCAATTTAAACAAATTATGCATATCTTTGTAATTCAAGCCCTTATTTAAAGTTATTGGTGAGTGTAACCTTCATCTATTAATTAACATTTCTTCCAAACAACCTTTTTTCTATATGTTGCTATTGCTATCGCCTAACGATTTTTTTCTAGCTCTAAATCGATGTTCCACATATACAACATTTTTTTTTTTTTTTTGACAATTTCTAACCCTTGATATAAAGCTCTTAATCTAAAGGCTGTTGTAGATTTAGACCTTCAGGGGTTTCTTTCAGAAACTCTTTCGCACTGGCTTCCCTTTTAACGAAACTATAGAAGAGCGAGAAAAAAACCGTAAAGCTAATCAAATGTATAATAGGAAGAAATTCTTATTTTCAAACTTCGATCTATTGATTAGCGAACATAAGCCTGAAAACGTAAAACTGACAATGTTTCCGGTGCTAAATTACCTGCCTTTATCTTTGCACATACTATCAAACAACCTACACCATGTCAATCAGTAGATGACGGACTACAAAAGTATAGCAGGCTTTTTCTATATTCGTATTTTTCTATATTGAACTAGACAAATAGATCTTTTTTGTCGATCTTGGTCACTTCAGAGCGGTTTAAAGACGAAGTTTTTAAAACATCAAAAAAGCCTCAGACACTTTGTTGCAACGTTAATCGGGAAACATTTTGGTTATATTTTGCAAAACTCCGTTAAATGTACGCTCTCTATAAATTTAGTTCTAACTAGGGAATCCACACAAAAACAAAACCCAAGGTTTCGGCTGCTAAAGAAGACTGTTTTAAATGGATCTACATGTAGGTGTCCCGTGGGGCAGCACAAGGATAAGTACGTAAAAATTTCCAAGCTTGTCACCCCTACTCAAAGAGGTTGTCAACGAAGTCATACCGCCGACCAATGAAAACCAAGCTCGAAACTCCAACATGGAGCTCTAATAGAAATAACCCATCGAAATCTGCCGGCAAAGACTATTTTGCATATTGATTTGCAGTAACGGGGAAATTGAGATCCAAGAGAAAGCCTTCTGGCACCGGAAGACAGAAAACAAACAAAGCGCTCCGGTCGCCAAAACAGTAAATAGAAACTGACAGCTAAAATTGATCAACAGGCGATCGTTGCAAGACTAATTACCCGCTTAGTTTAACTTTTGCTGTAGTTCTATGTTTTTCATCTTCTAAGAGGTTGGCCCTTAATTTCCCAGCGGTGAATTTTTCCTTCTTGCTTTCATGTTAGGAACCTTCGTCACACCAGATTTGATCTCTCTTGAAAACGAATTCGTAACAAACGTTTTTACAGACTCTCACTCCAGTTCTATCATTTGAGACTCTTTCAATGTAAAGATATTGCATGTGTCTCTACACAGTCTTTGTAAATTAAGTCCCCACGGTAAGTTATCTGCGAAAAATCCAGAGGGCGTCCCATGTTTAGTGAGGATTCCTTGGAAATGGTTTGCTTTAGGTATAATTTTAGTCAAAATGCTAACTCATGGCTACAATTTTGAAAGTCTTTTGACATCCCCTGAAGATTGTGCGAATCTGATGAAACATGTAAATTATGGAAAGCAGATTGATCTCGTTTAAGTGACACCACTTTTCTTTCCTTGTTTATTTTCAAGGCCTGGATACTTTTGCTGTTTACAAACTTGCACAAAATGTGAAAGTTTCGTTCAGAGGAAATATGACTGTTGCGTTGCAGTTTCTTCAAGCTTCTTCTCTCTCATTTTGTATTTAGCCACTCGTCGGTCGATAGTCGACTCTTAATGATAAATAGCTTGCAATGATCTACTCATACTAATTGACATTAGTAGCTAGGTAGTACATGTAGCTTTAAGTCGTAGACTGAAGTCAACTTATTTCCTGATTAATATTGCAAATTGAGCGATATATTAAGGTTCGTGAATGTCTTAACTGCAATTAACAGTTTTATTAAGGAGACATCGTTGAACAAGGAATAAAACCAGCTTTAAATGAAAATTCGGGTAGTGAGAAACTTTCTCTTTGTTAGCCTTGCATATATTTTTAATATTTTCCAGCACACATTAAGATATTGGTCTGTATTTTATCAGTTTTCCACTATACATTTCTTTTAAAATTAGGTTCCTCTCGTTCTCCTTAGCATTTAAAGTGAATTGTATTCTATCCAACTGTCAGTTCTGTGGATGTATGTTGAAGCATATGACACGTCAAGTAATTGACCGAAGTTCCTTTTGCGTTCTTGTTTTTAACAACACGAAAGGAACCGCAGTGTGTTTAAAAGTGTTATATTTTGTTTGTCTCTCCTACAGTTAAAAATTGAGAGACCGGGAAAATGCTGTGGACTGTTCTATGTTTCCTCCTCTTCACCGGCTTCTTTACGGACTGCCTATCTGCTGGGGAACAATGCAGAGAGGAACGGAGCATAAATGGGATGGCTCTACAGGGATTCGTCTTCAAAAAATTCTCCGTAAGAGCCTTTCACGAGTGTGATATCAGGTGTGAACGAGAACTCACCTGTCAAAGCTATAACTACGTCGTAGGGGAAAATTCGTGCGAATTGAATAACCGCACCAAGGAGGCAAGACCAGAACAATTCCGCTCAGACCCGGCACGTGTTTACTTACGACGCTTGCGCAACCAGGGTATGTACAAAACTTAATTAGCATGGACACTTTTCAGAGACAGACGTTAACAAGAAAATTATCGACTTTTCGAGGAAGACGTCAACCTATAATTTTACTAATGATAGCTTCCCTACTCACTAGCGGAGGTTAAAAGTAAAAACACAAAATTCCTATTGTGATTACCCTAATTAATTTCTTAGTTATATATTCACGGCCGAGTAGACTTTGGTTTCTCAAGAGTTTATTCTTCGTGAACGATCTTCGATCCTTGTGAGCCCGTAGGCCATCGTTGGACAGAAACAAAGGTTTTTTTTTTTATCATTTTTTTTTAATACGACTAAAAGTATACTGAATAAATTTTATATCATTATTTCTTTTTTTGATCAAAGCTCCTCTGGGTTCCATCTCGGAGCTTCCAGCACAATCGTGTCAGGAAATAAAGGCAAGTGAAGGCAAAGAAACCATTACCAGCAAGTACTGGCTTGATCCAACCGGGAATGGAACGGCAGTTTTGGTGCATTGCGACATGAATTTAGCAGGTTAATGACAGCCAGTTTTCATGTCAGTTAAGTAATGTTTTGAGCATAACTTGCATATTATTGCTGTTGACTCCTTCTTTGAGTAAAAGAGATCTATTCCCATGGTTTCCCATTGGTAATCTCACGCGGTGCACTATTGAAAAGGATCCGAGGAGTTTACCGGATATTTGCCTGTTTACTGGAGGAGAGATCAAGACAAGGGGTCTCCGACCATCTCTCCACCGCTGACCAACCGCTTCTTAATTAGCGTAGGAGATATTTCGCAGACACAAAGTGACTGAGTTGGGCTATCTGAACCTTGGTTTGTATAAGTCACTAATTCCAAACGATGAGATTTAAAGAAAATGTTATATCAATAATAAGAATTATGTGCTGGATAGTACATATGTGATTAATGTTTTCCTAAGTTAATGCCCCACGCCTCATTTGATTCAAAGGTACGTAACGCAGTAACGCGATTGTCCTTTTTATTGCTTTTTGTTTGTTTGTTTGTGGTTTAGTCTGTGGAGCTGTTGGTGTAGAAGACAGAAACAAAATACCAGATAGGAGAATGAAGGCACACAGATATGCCACTAGTAAGCACTATCCATACTATGGCCGGCTGAATGAGAACAGGGGACATGGAGCGTGGTGTGTATGGGAACTAAGTAAAGGAACAGACTATCTTCAAGTTGATATGGGTACAGTGCACTCTGTTTGTGCAGTGGCAACACAAGGAGTAAGATCATTTTCTTCGTGGACCATCAGCTACAAAGTGCATCTTTCTACAGATGGAGTAACATGGAACAGCTACAAGGAAAACAATGTTGAAAAGGTGACTAAGATAATATACTCTTGTCTTGGAGTTGAGGTCTATAGATAAATCATAAAGTTATCTGAGTAAACAGGACAATTTCTTTGTACTAATGTAAGCCCTGTAGTCCTCGTGTATAAAGCAAGTTTACTGATAAGTTTTCTGCATTTTAAAGACAAACAGGATATTGAAGGTATTATTACAACGATTATTAATGATTATATTCGAATGGGCGAGAAAATGATAATAGTAATAACAACAATAATCATAATCATAATCATAATCATAATCATAATCATAATCATAATCATAATCATTGTATCGATAACAAAATTATCGATCGTGATTGGATCCCCACGCGCCTATTTGTCATGTATTCTTTGCACGATCACGTGGGTGTCCAATTACAGGTATCCAATTTAAACTTTTTGTAATTGGATATTTATAATTGGATACCCAGGTGATTTTCACGTCAATCACGCGCGCTTTAATCGCTTCCTTCGCAATGTTTCCCATAGTTTTCGAAACTTGTGAAAAGCACAACAGACGTTTTCGCTCGAAAGAACTTACCAAAATACACCGACATTTGTTTTAGATAGGATTAATTAGTAATTGGACCTCGCGTTGTTCAATTCAGGGAGTAATCGTGCTCGTATTTTCAAATCGGCCTCGCGCCTCGGGCTCGTTGGATTTTGAAATTACTAGCGCGATTACTCCCTGAATTGTACCCTATTTGGTCCAATTACTATTACTACCACTACCACTACCACTACTACTACTACTAATAATAATAGTGATGGTAATAGTAATAGTAATGGTAATAGTAATAGTAATGGTAATAGCAATGGTAATGGTAATAATAATAATGATAATAATAATAATAATAATAATAATAATAACAATAATGATAATAGAATAACCCAGAAAACGCCATTTATAATTAATTATTATATTAGCCTCTGAATTATACAAGCTCAAATATAACCAGCATATTTCGCGACCTTTATTTATGTCCTATTACACCAGTAAAACTTAATTTTTTCTGTTGATTTAAGTCATGAGCGCATAATGCAAACTGTGCTGCGGTTTCTTTTTTCATTTGAAGGTGTTCGCAGGAAATACAGATGGAAGCAACATTGTGAAGCATTCACTCAGTCCTAACGTCAAAGCAAAATTCGTTAGATTTTATCCTGAAACGCATCACGCAACGTGTTGTTTGAGGGTTGAAATATTTGTGTTAAAGTAGTCAAACGAAATTTTTTGTCACTACGGGTTAAAGGTAGTTGCTACTTTCGCATTTCATCTCAAATGCTATTAATTTTAAAGTAGGGTAAATTAAGCGCGCTTTTTTCAGGTAAAAGCTTAATAGCACTGCTGCGAACCTCCTGAAACAATACACAGAGCTTTAAACTTACGTTATGATGTGCTCAGATACCTTATATTATTGAATATTAGCTCTCTGTATTCATTTGACAAACAATTGTCGATTGGCAGTTTGTTTTAGCAAAAAAACAAACAAACAAACAAAAAACAAAAACAAAAAAAACAAAAAAATAACAGTCTTTACCTTACCTGTAGGTGAGGATTCTCTAGTTAAACGGACAGGTGCAAGTTGTTCTTAGTGAAAACTAACAAAATATGATAATCTTTTGGCAAAATGTTTTAACGAGAGAGCATAACGTAGGAGTGACCACTTATAATAGGTTTGTATCATGTTCAGTCTGCTGTTAACGGTATATAATGAGTACTTTTACCAGAAGGCTAATAAACTAAAGTTTGCAAATTTATAACGGACTGTTAATGGAGTTTGCTCTTTGGTTGGATAATTAGTTAATTGGCAAGATCTTTCACAAGGTTATTAGTTTGTCATAATCTTAAGACAATCGGTACCTCCCCGTCTCCCCCAAAATCATACACCACACCTCCGAAAGATTCACGGGAGTGGCAAATCCTCACACTTTGTCTTACCTTTTTTTTTTGTTTTAATTAATTAATTAATTAATT